CACACACACACACACACACACACACACACACCTGCCAGCTGTCTGCCTCCCCCACAGTGGGGCCTTCCTCCTGCACCCTCCCAGGCTGTCTCCAGTCGTCGCCCCCTGCTCAGTGCTGCTGAGTGCTGGGCTCTGTAACAGCACGGGGCAGGAGATAAGCAGGGAGAACCCAGGAGCCTGGCAGGAGAATCAAAGTCCCCATCGGTGAGTGGTGCAGCTATCAGGMAGCGGCTTCCAGCTCTGGCATGTCTGGCAGATAGAGAGCAACACTTCCTGATGGTCCTCCAGCACATTCAGTCACAGATCACATCAGARCAGTAGTTCCTGTTGCTCTCTGGAGATTATCTCAGATGTTCTGAATGTGGGATGAAGAAACAGCCCAACAAGGCCCTCACTTTATCTCAGCGCTGACGCTGGCCGTCACTCYTCTGACTGCTTTAGAGCTCCAGAGCCGCCACTTGACTCACACACAGCTTCCTGCCAGCAGAAAGTCAAGCACAAACTCTCCAAACAGAAACACAGAAGCCTGGTAACGGTCTGCAAATTAAAGATGCTATAAGAAGCGGACAAGAAATCCCACGAGAGCAACCAGAACCACTTCACTGACTGCTGCTGCCTTGTAAGGAGCAACAATACAAGTTTAATTTAAAGCAGGGGGAAAGTATTAAAAGAACTAGTAACAACATCAGGAAAGCAAGACATATTTTGGTTCCCACATCTGCAAAATACATCCAAGCTGTCCTTAGACCAGTTATTACCAAATGAATTAAATAAATCCTGAGTCAACCTAAAGTAAAAAAAAAAAAAAAAATCAGAATAAAACATTTTTGAGGTGCAAATTTAAAGTTTATGAATTAAATGTGCAGAACCATACTAAAGACATTTGATGTAAAAGGAAAAAATAAAGACTTAAAACAGGGGTAACTCTTTTTCACATGAGCATTATGGTGGTCCTCAAAGGGCCAGTTGTAATTAATGTTTTGTGTTTAACTTTGACTAAACATGAAACGTTCCTCGTCTCACTGCTAGGACAGAGTACAGCTAACCAACAATAACTGAGCTCTACATGGTATTTCCTGCATAGAAGCAGTGTGTTTACATGTCCTCTTCTAAACACTGAAAAGTACTATGTCTACGATGCCATCATTTTGTTGGTCAAATGTGTGAACTGCATTATGGGAGATGTAGTTTATGGTCAACGCTGGCTTTGAAACAGCTTATTTTAAGACATCAATACATCTTTGAAGGTCTCGCCACATAAAATGCTGTGGTGGGCCTCATTTGGCCTGCAGGCCTTAAGTTTGACACATACCTTAAATGTTGCATTTTTCAATTAACCATAATAAATAAATAAATATTGTAATTCACTATAGCTATTTCTTAATTAGAAAGAGAAGTAAAAAGTGTAAAACGTAAGTCAGTCTGTTGCRATCACTGTTTTGGTTCTTTTATCCATTGAAGCACTGGTCTTAAAACCAAATGTCTGATATCGATCAGGCCTGTCTGAATGTTACATCAGTTAGTCTCCAGGTTTACTTCTTTAACCAGCAATAAATAAACCAATCTAACTCATCCTACAGCAAAGTATTCACCCTCTTTGACACTTTTATTACTATCAGAAATCAGTCATGGCCAATATTAATTGCCCTTTCCAAAAACAATTAAAAAACCCAAAAAACAAAACTTCAATGTCAAAGCGAAATCGAATTTCTAGAGTAACATTAATTAAATTAAAAAAATAATGTAATGTAAAGTGACTGCATATATATGTAACCCTACTACAGTGGCTGTTCTAATTCAACTC